CATATGAGGTCTCTCCTTGTTAATTTTAGACAAATGATTTCAATTAGTCATTAATGAATTCACTTGAGATATTTCTATCATTCACCACATTTCTCATTAGAGGAGATTGAGATTGAGGTGGAGTAAGCTTTGCAAACTAAAGCTGACCTCACACTTGTATTTTATATCCTAACTTTTGTAATAACAATGACTGAATTTCAACATTAAAGCTAAATCCACCACTAAATATGAGTGTGTTCACATAATTCATAGTGACATAATGCCTGGGGTTAGTCTGAGGTTTTGTTATAGTCTTTGTGATCCTTCCTTCCTTCCCTTCTTAATTTCTACCTTCCTTTCCTTCCTCCCTTCTTCCCTCCCTTCCTTACTTCCTTCTTTCCCACATTTGTTCTTTCTTTCCTTTTTCTTACCTTTCCTACTTTCACTCCATATTATCCTCTCACACTCCTTCATATATTCCTTCTTTTTTTCCTACATCATTTGTTTACTTTGCTACCTACATTGTTACTTTCCTCCCCCATTCCCTTCTCCCTTGTTTTCATTCATGCATTGAATACTTGTTAAATTGTTCCTTTGGTTTTATGTTGACTAATATTCATACAGTTTTATATATATACATATATGTCATTAATCCATACATTCTTTGATGAATATTTGGGTAATTTCCATTTCAGATTATTGTGAATTATGCTGTTATTGACATGCATGCATATTTATTTGTCTAAGTACTGGCCTTCAATCATAAGGGAAACACATCTAGGAGTGAGACTACTCGATAATATCTTAAGTCTTTAGCTATGGAGAAATCAGCAAATTGTTTCAGAGTGGCTGGCATATTTAACATTCCCTGAACTATATTACTCTATTTTATAATATTACCACATCCTTGACAAAATACATTATATTTTCTATATTTAAAAATATTATCTCATGGATATAATATGAGATGAAGTGGTGTATCATTGGGTTTCTGAGTTGTATTTCTCTATGTCTAATTTGGAATGTTTTAATAGGATGTTGATAATTTGTATAACTTCTGCAGAGAAATGTCTTTTAGAATATTTTCTCTTTTGTAATAAGGTAATTTATTTTGTTAATATTTTTCTTTGTGACATATGTACTTTAGATACTTATCCCTTATAAAACACAAATTTTAATAATATTCACCCTATTTTGTATAACATATTTGCATTTTTATAAAATTTATTATTTTTAAGCTAAACTCAAATATATTTAATTTTTATATATAATTTCATTCATATAAGTTACTGTTATTAACTATACTCCTCATGATATTCAGAGATTTCTTAAAATTATTTCTTATTTAACTGGAGTTATCTTTCCTTTTAATAACATTGATCTACTTATCAACCCCACTGCTTCTTGTAGTCACCATATTGTCTGTGGTTCTATGATTTTACTTTGCAAGATTATACACTTAATTTAATTTATTCAGTGTTCTTCTTTCTAAAACTGTCTCATTTTTCTTAATATAATGTTCTCCAGTTCATCTAGGTTGCAACATATTACAGAATTATGTTTTTTCTTAAAGGTTGTTAATGTTTTATCTGCCTATCTAGCTATCTGTAATCTATCTATTATATCTATCTATTTATCTGTTTATCTATCTATGTATATTCTATCTCCATAACTAATATTCTTTACCTGTATTTCATTTAATGGACACTTAGATTGATTGGGTATCTTGAATATAGTGAAATTCTGGCCATTGTAATAGGAATAGGAATGTGTATTGACAACCCAATTTCAATTGCACATCCTTTGAATGTACACCTAGAGTAATATAGTTCAAGCATACAAAACTTATAATTTAATTTTGATGAACCCCCTCATATTTCTACAATAGCTATACTAATTTTCATTTACACCAATAGTTTGTAAGTTTTCATCTCTTAACAAAAGAGAGTTGTCATTTATCTTGAACACAATACTCATTCATATAGGTATATAAGGTGACATCTCCTTGTGCCTTTGATTTGCCTAGTCCTGATGTTAGTGATGTTGAACATTTTTATATGCACATTTCCAGTGTTTGATGTTTTCTTTCAGTAATGCTTGCAGAGATTTTTTCCTATAAAAATCTAATTAACACACAATAATTGTACATATTAAATTGTGCAATATGATTTTAGATAAATATCAATGTTGTGGAATATAAACTAAAAGTGATTAGTATATCCATAACCTCAAGCATGTATCATGTGATTGCGATGAGAAACTCATTTCATAAGAATGAAATTAGACCCAAATATCACTGCAAATACACACAAAAACATCAAAATAGACTAAAATTTAAATGTAAGACCTAAACTTTTAAACCAGAAGAAGGAAATATAAAAGTAAACTCTTCAGTATTTGTATTTGATATTATTACTTCTGATAAAAAATTCAAAAGCACAGACAAAAAATGCAGAAAGATAAAAATGAGTTTTCATCAAACAAAAATTTTTCACAGACTCAATGAAGCTAAGAGTTGGTTCTTTGAAAAATGATAAGCAGGAATGACAAGCCATAGCAAAGAAACTGAAAGAAAAAGAAACAATCCTCATATTAAATCATAACTGAAATGCAGATATTACTGAATCAGAGGGTAATTAGGGTACATTTTAAAATAAAATCTAGAAAAAATGGACAAATTTATATTCAAATACAACATACCAAAACTAAAAAAAATGAATATAATCAACTCAGCAAAAATGGATTTATAATGATGAAACTGAAACAACAATAAAGCATCTCCAAACAAGAATATATAGACTTGCACAGATTGACTGCCAACTTCTATCATTCCTTCAAAGAAAACCTACTACCAATACTTCTCAAATTAGTTCATCATTTATACGAGAAGGAACATGAGCAAACTCATTCTATCATGTTATTATCAGTTTGAAACAAAAATAAGAAAAAACAATCACAAAAAAAGGAAATAGAACCCACAATGAACACAGACTCAATTTTTTTTAAATTATAGCAAACTGAAATAAATAACTCATTGAAAAGGTCAAACACTATAAATCAAGTTTGTGAAATTCCAGTGATGTTAAACATATGCAAAACAGTGAATGTAACATAACATATAAATAAAGTCAGGGACAATTCACATGATCGTCTTAGTAGATGTGGTGAAATCATTGAGACAACTCAACATCTTAACTAAGGGATTTTATCACAACAAAAATACATGGAAGTTAAATAAAAACATGTGTTGCGTCATGCTGAATTTTCATATTTGTAATGTCATGTTAGGTATTAATGCTAGGAGTAAACATTCAAACTAAACCTTTAATGTAACTGTAGGAGTTTAATTCATACAGAAATATCATTTGACTGGTTCATGACATAAGGACACAATCAGCACTTGTCCTTAAAAATTGCTCTACAGCACACACTTTCCTGTTGAGGGCTATATGGCTTTGAAAGGAGATGTGAATTGCCCAACTGGTGGCATTTAAAAGTCAAATTATTGCATGGTCCACAAATAGCATATTTATTCTATTATCTGTATCCATTTTCCAAAAAAGAATTGTCACAGCACTTTCAGATGGCTACTGTGAAATTTACATATATTTTGCATGCAACTTTTTGACTAGTTATGAAACTCTTCTAAATTGTGAAATACAAGAGTAAATAGCAAAGGAATATCTGAGGACAGAGCACAAGATGAGGCATCAAAAGGCTATGCATTTTGTCCCTTGTTTTAAAGTCTTTGGCTACCACTTAGATGAAAAAATTTATACTTTTTATTGACTGGTTGCCTTTGCAAACTTATGGTCATGTAAAAGAAGCAAAAATTCCATTTATTTGTACGAAATTTTGGTAATATTTCTCAGACGACTAGAGCACGAAGCAACTGCAAATATGAGATGACCATTGACTCCTTACCTGGATTCCAGGAAAAAGTCATATAGTTCAAGCAAACTTTATTTCCTGATTGTATTTGGAAATATTGTTCTTGTGAACAGCTCACAACATAACTTTCCTCCAACATTATGATTATCCCGCAGGGTTAACTCAAGAAATAGAAAAAAGTTGCTTAAATGGAGACAATTAAATGTAAGCAATTAGTTCACCAGCTAATACAGGACAAAAGAAAAAGGTCACAGAGATGGTAACAGAAGGTAGTCACTAAAATATGGAGGGCTTCGTGGTGTGAAAGGAAGAATAAAATATATTGAATTTTGATGCTGTTTAGTAAATAAGAGTGAAAGTGTGGAAATGAAATTGCAAATATGGATTCTCAACAAAATTATGTGGAGAACAGATTAGTGATATCACACAGTATCAAAAGAAAACTGTGGAATGGGGAGATTGGAGCGGGAAGATGATAACTGAAAACCAATCATAAATAGTGACGTGTTGTATGATGTTGAAGGACAATGCCTTTGGATATCATATTTAAAGCAAACCACTTCTACCAATGCTATAATAGGCTCAATTTTAACATACCTATTTGAATTTGATTCACATAAGCGTCAGCATCTGAATCTTTCTGAAGTTTTTTTTAAAAATTCATAACAGGTTGGGTCCAAATAAATTAAAATCTATGATGAGGAGAAGAGTTACCAATATATGCAAGCTATTCAGGTTTTTCTAATAAAACTCAAAGTAGAGGACAATATGGTCTCTAGATATAAATTGGCTAGATAGATATCTGAAAATGAAGATGAATTTCTAAATGGGATATAAATTTAAATATATACTTCAAAAAGCTAAGACATGTCACATGGAGGCCTAGGTCATGACTCAGAGATTAAAGAGGCTGCCTGAATATGTTGATTTAGTGGTGGTGTTTATGATTCAAAATGACTCTATCATCCACAAGAAACTCAAAGACAGGCCACCTGTATCAATATTGAAAACTGAAATGTTACATGCACTGGAAGTTATGCAGCTATAAGACATGTAACCAGGAATGAAGAATTTACAGGCTTTGCTGTTTTTCCCACTCTAATGACTACTATATGGTATAGATAATTCGTCTAGAATTTTCTGCTTTGCATCCTCCAGAGGGCACTCTTAATGTCTCTGTTCCTCAGGCTGTAAATGAAAGGGTTCAGCATAGGGATGACCACTGTGTACATCACTGAGGCCACGGCATTATTTCTGGGGGAATTTGATACAGTTGATGCAAGATACACTCCAAACCCTGTTCCATAATATAAGCAAACAACTGACAGGTGTGAACCACAAGTCGAGAAAGCTTTAAACCTCCCACCTGATGATGGGGTCCTCAGAATAGAGGAAATTATTTTATAGTATGAGAGAAAGATTCCTAAGACAGGAATGAATCCTGATGTGGTGCCTACAATATAAATGACTATATTTTTGGTAAAGGTGTTAGAACACACAAGATTTAACACTTGAGAAGGGTCACAGAAGAAATTGGAAATTTGCCTGTCCTTAAAATAGGGAAATTGTAAAACAATCAAGTTGTGCAACTGGGATTCCCAAATGCTAACCAAAGAAGATATCAGTACAAGGAAGGCACAGAGGCGAGGGTTCATGATAATTGAGTAACGCAGGGGGTGACAGATGGCCACAAATCTATCATAAGCCATCACTGTCAGAAGCATGTCATCCATGCATCCAAAAATAATGAAAAGAGACATCTGTGTGAGGCACCCCACATAGGAGATTACTCTGCCGTGAGTTTGGATGTCTACAATCATCTTTGGGACAGTGGTGGAGATGAAACAAATGTCAGTCAAGGCCAGGTTGAAGAGGAAGAAGTACATAGGAATATGAAGATAAGAGTCCAAGCTGACAGCCAGGATGATCAACATGTTCCCAAGCACTGTGACCAGATATATTGACAGGAATAGTCCAAGAAGAATAGGTTGCAGTTGTGCATCCTCTGAGAGACCCATGAGATGGAATTCTGAGACATGTGATAGATTAATTTCTTCTATATTGCTGGAACACCTGTTCAGAATAAAAGAGTATGGGAAAGAGGATGGAAATTAGCAGGCATCAAGTACTCCAATGATGGAACAAAGTCCTTTGTTTTAGAATATCTAAGTCACTGTGTAATAGGTAGGATTTTACCACCTGAATTAAAATTGATAATTGATAGGTCACATTTAAAAACTTTTCTGCCATTTCTTTTGCAGGAATTTTTTCACTTTCTTCTCTTTGCTTATTTTTCTTCATTGGGCTAAATTTCAAATTTTGCTTGTGATTTAAGTTTTCCTTGATATCATTAGTTATGGTGTGCTTCAAATTTTGGTAAAAATGGTTTAAGTTAAATTCACAAAATAAATTTAATCATTGAGAAAATGTATGCCATTAGTATGTAATGCACTTGACAATGATTAAAACTAAAGAAATACAAAGAAAACATATTGTGAAGATGAATTTGTTTCAAACCCTCAGTAAATAATCTTTTTGAGAAAGTTATTTTACTTTCACTTTTCTGTCTGCATTGTACAGTGGACTAGAAACACTGCTTATTGTTCTTTTGATTGTTTACCCTCTTGTCTGATATTGGGAAATTTAGCACTAAGAAAGAGCTGAAACATTTCACAGTGGTACTCCCCAACAGGTAAATCACAATTCTCTTACTTCAGCTATGTGAGAGAAAACCAGTTTGGATTTTTTTGACTTCTTACACCGTGGTTTAATTAGAAAAGGGCAAAATAAGAAAGTACAGGAAGCAATGTAAAGCCACTAAGGAAGTTTCTTCATCTGTAATGTAGAGGCAATATTTACCTAACTTATACTGTCATTATAAAGGCTTTTAAAATGTATTATAAAATGCACAGCCTTGTGAATCTCAGTCATATTTAACAGTATATTTGCCTTTAGAAGTTTTAAAATATTAAGATATACACACTTTACCATAAGATGTGAAGTTACAGGATATAAGAACGTGTTTTAAAAGCTGTTGAACAATGGAGGTTGTTTGGTAAAGTGGTAAGGAGAGTATTTGAAGGGAGAGAACAGACCATAGTAAAGCACACCCACAGTGGGAAAACATTGGGATACCCCTTCGAGCATCAACTCAGATATTAATTATGAAAACAAAGACTGTAAAATAAGCCAAGTGTGTATTGGAGAAGTACTAGTGGAAGGGGGAGGGTGAAGAAAGGAAATTAAGATAATGGTATATGGTTGATGCACTTCATATACATATATGAAACAGAATGTAAAAACCTCTTGCAATTGCTTTAAGTGAGGTGGAGAGGGGACTGAGCGGAAGAGAAGGGGGCAATGTTAATAATGTTCAATATAAGACTAATTGGAATTGTCACTATGAATCTCCCCCCCTGTACAACGAATATATCCAAATAAAATTTTACACACACTTTAGATAACCCATTTTTAGAGTATCAACAAGTGAATTTCAGTGTGTTTCTTTCCTACACTAGTATTGAGCACCACTGCCTCAGTGCATTACTTGGCATTTAGGAAATCCGCAAATAATATTGTCTGTTTTTACTATCAATAATAATCTTTGCTTGTGCATCAGGATTTTATTTTTGGAGGAATCTGAGTTATCACTTATGACATTTGAGTTGTTGATATCTCTGGAAAATTCTATTCTCCTATTCACCTTTCCTTTAAAGGCAAGCAATTTAGTGAATTTAATGGATATAATTTTTTCTCTGGGTTTCCATGTCATTATTGACTTATGTATTCACAAAAGCTTTCTGATAAACGTGAAAATTTCCTAAAGCTCATCTGAGTAGTCTAACACAACACATATTTACCCTCTGATGACATAGTTTACATCAACTTGTGAATTTATACTTTTGTGAAGCACATACACAAATATCAAATAATTTAATGATTGCATAACATTGACAGACAGGAGGACATCAGCTATTTGTGAGTTTAGAATTGCAACAATCTTTTTGAAATCTGTATTCCTGTCTCCATTTCATGCAAATGAAAAATTTTAAGAAACTCTGTGGGTGAAAGATTTTTTTTTTAAGAAATAAAAATGTTGGTGCAATTTACATTTTACTAGTAATTGCCTACATTTGTTGTCTCAATAAAACATCAGTCCTAATCAAATATAGACTATAACTGTTAGTGTATTCTGTCAATATCACTGACAAGGATATAATAATAATAATTTCAATTTTTTATCTATGAAATTTCATCATGTATAGAGACTAATACTTCCATTTGTCTTCATTATAGCATGCAATGTACTTGGACTGGAGTCAGGAAATCAACATTTTGTTCTAGTATCATTGATCTGTAACTATAAGCAGAAGATGTGAAAATCACTCCACCTGTGTTTACTCTTATAGCTCAATGAATATAGGGATAATAACACCTTTATTCACAGTATGTGTGGTACCTGAAGAATATTTGAGGCTTAATATTTGGCAACCTCATTGTTTTTTCAAGTAAACAATTCCTTCATTATGGAAATTCTGTTTTGATTACATTAAGTGCCAAAAGCCAGTGAAGCTTGTAATGATGTGTATCCAAAATATGAATCAACTCAAGCATAAAGCATACTTGCTTTCTTTTCACTTTTTTTAATCTATGTGTATTTTCACATGTAATTTGAATGATTAAATTATATATATTCTGTTAAATGAATTTTGAGGACCCTGTGTCCTTGCTACAGACACAAATACGTGCTATTATTTCTTTTCTCTTGCTCTTTTGGACATTTCCAGAGGGATGATAGTACAGACAGGGAAGGATAAAGTGTTGAAACCACAATGATTTTGGATTTTTTTGTGAATGAAAGCACAGTCTATTCAATGATTTACAAGGGTATTTAAAAATATTTTTCTGTCTCTTCTGTGCTAACAAAAGGATAGGCTCTGGGGAACCAGAAATGAGAGTTAGCAATCTCCAAATATTAAGTATAAGCTGTCCAAAAATAAACTGTCCCACCATAGAAACAATTGCAACTGCATGTCAAGGGATATATTAGTTTAATTGTATGAAAATTAATCTTACAGATATTAATAATAAATACCTAACGTATATTTGATTCTTATTTTCAATTCATTGAATATTAATCACATAGATACCTCCCATTATGTTTAAACTGTACTTTATACTCTTGTCTGAACTAGAAATTAACTCTAATACAATAATCAGAGATAGTAACATCTTCCTCTATGTCACTGAAACAGTGCTACCAATTTTATCATGATTAAATCGCCAGTCACTGAATCTGATGAACTAAAGTTCTTCCGTGTTTTCCAGCCACTAGTAACCTGTAAACCCTGGTCAAGAGATATAAAGCACAGATTTATTTAATGCCCATTTTGAACTCTGCTTCACTGCATGTAGGAATGAAAACAAAAACTAACATTTTTCTTCCTTCAGAGATTTACTGGGCTAACCGAAAGCATATAAGAGAATGTGCACATCTGCCAGTATATTCTGGAGTGGGACAAAGAAAGAGAGCAGTGCTGAATGATCAGGTGCATATTCTTTCTGAGATTTTATCTGTAATCTCAGCTATGCTTTCTTTAGTAGGTTGATAAGGTGCTCCTTAATGGTTTCCTCTGAGATATACAAGGACCTTTTCTACAGAGAAGAGAACAGAATGGAAAACTTTTTTTCCTGGAGTTACATATTTTCGGTTCTTAAATGGAAAACTTGCCAAGATTCTCCTGATAGAATACTCTTTGTCTTTATTCTGACAGACAATTTAAACAATTATCCCCAGATTTGGACCTAACAACCTGATAGTACATACATTAAAATGCTGACCACCTTCCTTTTCTGGAAAATGAAATGGGTGGATTTGTCTTGGGAAAGTTTGTAAAGATGAAGTTAAATGAAGCAAGTCACATAGAACAGATAACTCAGAAACTGGTACTAAAATACCCCTCAAATAAGGTTCATGGTGTTATGATTCATTCCACATCCTCATCCTCATCACCCCCCTTCATAATCATTGTGGAATATATTGAAAAGAGTGATTGTGAACCATTTTATGTTTTCATGGGAGAGATGTCCATGGCAAGTATCATTAGTGAAGAAGGAAAGCAGAACTTTAATGAGGACCACCACAATGAAGAACATGAATTTCCCACTCATAATAGCTAAAATTTTGAAGACAGTGTCCTCCCATTCATGTACTGAAACACTCAGGTTAGAACTCATAAAAGGAAACAATGTATTCAGTGGCCATTTCTGCTTTATCACTTACTTATTTATACTACTTCTTCGCTGGGTCATGACCAAGGGCTGTAGAGTCAATGAAATTCATCTGCTTGGTGCTTAGTGAACGCTCTGGATTCTTTCTCAGTCTTGGTACAAATGCAGCATCAGATAGGATCTTCCTGGTGCAGAAACCCTTGGGAAGATGAACTGGTATATAGACTACTGGGCTGGTAAAATCAAGCATAAAGTGTGGAAGGACGTACTAATTATTGACTATAATATGACCTTGGAGCCTCAAAGCACAGAGTTCATAATGACTCACATTGGTTCCAGTTGCCCCAATCTCTAAGGATTTCCTATTAGTGGAAAGAAAAGACAGAGAGGAAATAAGTGTTCACCATTTTGTGGTTCTTCCACTATTCATTAGGAAATTCTAAGTATTATTCATCAGATTTGTATTTCCTCATCATTTTTTATTTTTGGGGGGCCCAGATATGTTTAATTTTCATTGTTTATTAAGGTAAAATACATATAGAAAATTTGACATTTCACACTTATTTTGCACTGTCTGTGATATTAACTACTTCCATTCCCAGCAGTGATTCAGAGAGTCACACTAAAACTTTGTACCCATTTAGAAACCTCTCCTAACTTTGGCAATGGTAATTGAACTGTGAAAAAAACAAACAAAAAAAATAAACCCTACAGAAAAAACTAATGTGAGCAAAGGGACATAAATTACAATAGTAGATACACTGATTTGCTGCTTTACATAATATACATTCAAAATAGATGCGACAGGTCCTGAGAGTTGACAGTTTTTCTGTGAAGACTTCTC